TGAAGAGCACACATAATCCATTGGATTTCTCCCATTGTGCGCGAAGCTGCTTGGCTTCGCCAGTGCTTTCTTCAGTAACCTCAGGGGGTTCCTCATTGAGAACAGCGTAATCCAACTCTAATAATCTTAATTGCAAGAGAATAGCATCTTTCCACTCTTTGTAGTTATCTTCATTAAGGATTGGAACATTAATTTGTGTTTGGGTGACAGGATGAGTTGCTGTAAAGAATAATAATTAATGCTTGGTTAGAATTTTCGAGGCACAAAAAATTAGAGAGAGATACTGAAGTACATAATATTACCAATGTAAAATTATGCAAAAAATAAATTCGGATGCCATAAAAATTGCCTGTGGGCTAAATTTTTACGCATAATGAATTTACCAAAACTGAATGGTGGAAACGGAATGGGTGCGATTTTAATTTTTCCACTCTTAATGACAAAACTACCAAAACTATATGCCGATACATAATCCCTGTGGGCAAATTATGATCATAGTATGGTATTTCATCCTAATTAACCCTACAAATATAACAAAATTGCATGTGGGCTAAATTTTGCCATATCACGCAGAGTGAATTACAATATTCTTGCATTAACTTTATGTGAGTAAAACTTAATATGTAATTTTGGAAAACTAAAGATGTTGTGGCTACTCTTTAATTAACCAAAGAACATAATCACATTAGCAAGAAAGCCTAATAAACAAACAGATTAAACCAAAATATGATAGACAATCCTTAGGTATACTCCCAGGAAAGTTGGGCGAGACGAAGCTCGGTTAAAAACCAACTCCTTAGACAGAGTAGCATCGCAAGGGGACTAGTAGCAACAAGGCTTTTAAGCCAGGGCCATAGAACTAGTATTCCTCCCCAAGAAACTTCCCTAATTCATGTGTTCTCATTTTTTGAAGTAAAATCGTTTGAGAGATCTAAAGAGTAGTTTCACCTATGGATAAGGCTTTGAATAGGGTAAACTACGAATTGTTTATGTACTTTATGTGCTTTAGGAACTTTATAAAACACGAGTGGAGTAATGACTGAAGATTGAGTAATAATATGCATAATCTAACCTGAAAGGCACTAATTCACCTAAAAGGCACTAAATCATGCATAACATATAATTTATACCTAAAAGGCTCTAAATTTTTCTTAATGAACATGCTTTTCTATAGGCATATAATTATAACAATCAAATAATTATTGCAATAAAGACATAAATAACATGCTCAGATTATGCATATTACTCACAAAATACTCCACAATTAAATTGTAACACTTAATACAATTTAAACTGAAAAACATTATTAAATTAAAATTCAACTGAAAAATTAAAACTGAATAATTATTCAAAGTTGAATAATAATTTAATAATAGACTTAATAAAAAAAATTTTCAATTGGATAATTTAATTAGAAGAAGTCCAAATATGATGAAGATGTTAAACTGAATGAATTGATGTAGTCCAAATATCAATTCAGGTTTGACCCAAAACCGAAACAGGCCCAAATTTAATTAAATAATATGAACCAGGTCTGGCCCAATTGGGCCAAACCCGGCCCAATGACTTAATCCATCATCTTCTATTCTTCTTTGTCTAAAAAAACTACAGCAGCGTACAGATAGAAGCAGGGCTGACCAAAATAATTATCCAATATAATTTTCTTTTTCTTTTTGTTTTTAATACTTAATGCAGAAAAAGAACACACCAAATTTCCAGCAACCCCAGATAATTTAATTGTGAACTCAAGAATATTCACATAATCTTAATTATATAACAAAGTATATAAAATATGCAAATATTTAAGCAATTAAAAAAAAAACTAGGCAGAGATTATTTATGGCGACTGATACCAACTGTTAGACTAAAATATCACATGCACCATATAATATGTGATTACAGGATCGACTAACCTCCAGTCATAGCTCTTTACACGGTTGAGCGATCCGGACTGTTGCAGAGATAACGAGTATTTTGTCTCTCACTTTACTCAGCTCTCTCTAGATGGTGTATGAGGTATGTAATGTGAGCAGTGAGAGGACTAGTGACCTTATATAACCACTAGCCATCATTGTGGTTGATTGTCTTTAGGTCTCCTAAACCCTAACCAGACTCCTAATCATAATGGTAGTCTAGTTATTAGGTTATTAGTGTTGCACCACATATCAAATACTGAATATTATCATAACTTATCCTAATGTTATAATAATAGTAACGGATAAACATTACATGCATATCAATCAAGCTTGCATGCAGTGACCCAGATTTCTAATTGCATTTTTTCCTGCTAGATTCACAATACAAAATACACTTAACACTTGTATGGTAGCATATAGCAACATGTGATGGATCTATTTGATATAAATTTTATTGCAGTGCCATACAGACCTAGCAATCATGCTTCAACATGACAAAAACCTTTGTTAAAATGTACATTCATTCAAGCATAAACAAGCTCTGTTAAGCAAAAGGCTACAATCTGGGAAGGTGTGGACTGAAATCAATCTGAAACACCACTGCACCAGAGTTAATCCATACTGCAATTATTTGGCTCTTTGCCATTGACATATGCCTTTGTTCAAATGAAGCTATGCATATATACATTCTCAGGAATAGACAAAAAGTCACTGGGAATTTTCCTCTTAGTTCGCAGATTACAGTTCCTCACCACGGAATTGGGGATTTTATTATGCTTGTTGTTCAGCGGTAGGTATTGCCTTATTAAGAGAAATGTCAAATTTAGCCCTCTTAAAAATGAAAAAATTTTACTCCGGTGGATTTTTGACGGAAAAGTGGCCGGAAGGATCATTTTTGTCAAAAAAAACAATAGTCGTGGACTAAAATTGCAAGGTCTGAAAGTCGTGGATCAATTATGATAGTGCCACTATAGTCGTGGGACCAAAAGTGCAAAAAACTCTCAACTCCCCACACAACTTAACAAAACGACGTCGTTTTGGGAGGAGCGCGGCGCACATTGCTATGTGCGCCGTGGTGCACGGTATAACGATTAGCACCTAGACGGCGATTAATCGGCGCCTATACGGCCGTGTATTTTGTATTTTATTTTTATTTTTTAGAAATTTGTTTAAAATTTTTAAATTTTTTAAGACTTGTTTAAAATTTTTAAATTTAATAAGACTTGATAATTATAAACTATTTAACTTTAATGGTTAATACTAAAATATTAAATATTAACCTAAAAAACATCTAGAGTTTGAACAATTTAGGTTTATTTCGCTCAAAACAATTTTATTTTGAGTTGAATGACCCATTTAAAAAAGAAGGGAACAACCAGGACTATGTGGTCTAATGGTACCCCGGTTGGACTTCCATTTAGAATGTTGTAAGTTTGAGCCTCAGTGGAAGCGTTATTAGCTCTTTGTGAAAAAAAAAAGAAGGGAACAATAACTAGGCGGTCGGCTAGCGCCTTATGCTTAGGCAGCGTTTAATTAGTGCCTAAGAGGATTTTTGCAACTCTATTTTTAATATATATTATGTTCGAGATCCCTTTTACAAAGTGAACCATGGTCCATCATATCAATTGTTATGCCATGGATCGGGGTCCACCTTGCAAGGGTCAAGGTGGACCCTAGTCCAAAACGATGCAGTTTGCGTGTTTGAAAATAACAGTGCCGTTAGTGGCACCGTTTCCTCAACCAATGATTTTTTTGTTAATTATTGAAAACAACTCTGCGAGTGAATATTCAGTTCTGTAATTGTGAATATAGTGTTCTGTAATTGTGAATATAGGGTTATGAAATCGTGAATATAGAGTTCAAAAATTGTGAATATAGAATTCTGCAATTGTAAATATTGAATTCTGTAATTTTGTATATTGAAATTTAAAATTGTGAATATCAGTTCTAATATTGTGAATATAGAGTTCTTAAATTGTGAGTATAGAGCTCAAAAATTGTGAATATAGAGGAACGAATTCTGAAGACAAACGGCAAGTTAACGACAAGGAATGAAGTATTTTTATTTTTTTTATTCAGACGCCGTCTTTTTGAAGCAAAACAACACCAGTTTGGACCTGAGTCCACATTGCAAGGTGGACCGGGTCCACAACATAATTTGCCCCATCATATAATGAAATTTAATAACATATCTCATTGTAATAAGACTACTTTATGTATAATGTCGAATGAAACTGTAATTGAAACAAAATAAAACTTTAATTATGCTAGAATGAAACTATAATGTATATAAAATGAAATCGAATACGTTATACTAACAAAACTAATTACACGGAACGGGTTAAAAAGAAACGGCACCGTTTTGGACCATGGTTCACACAATCCACAGTAAAATTTGCCGTTGAGCTTTGCACAGGCCTACATAATACTCAGTCGCAAATTATGCTGTGCAACCGAATGCACCTTGCAAGGTGCATACGGTTGCAAAACGGCGCCGTTTTGGTTAAAAAAAAAAACGTGCGTCCCACTTAAAGAAGAAATCAGGTTCGATTCTCGACAATAGCATTTTTATATATCCAGAAATTCATAACTATATATCCACAAATTCATAACTATATATCCACAGTGAATGAATGAAGTAAAAATCCACAATGAATGAATGAATGAAGTAAAAATCCACAATGAAAGAATGAATGAAGTAAAAATCCACAATGAATGAACTAAATATCCACAATGAATGAACTAAATATCCATAAATTCATAACTATATATCCACAGTGAATGAATGAAGTAAATATCTACAATGAATGAACTAAATATCCACAGTGAGTGAATGAACTAAATATCCATAAATTCATAACTATATATCCACAATAATGCTATTGCCGAGAATCGAACCTGAATTTTTTTTTTTTTTAAGTGGAACGCGCGTTTTTAGTCAAAACGACGTCGTTTTGCATCGTATGCACCATGCGCATGGTACATTCGGTTGCACAACATAACTATTGATACTCAGTGGACGCGTTAAAGAACTGCTCTTTGTACAAATTAAAGATTGTACCATATGCTATGAAGAACTGAACATCATATTAACTGCACTGTATATTTATTTAAAATGTACACATTGTTCTTAGGAATGCAAGTCAAATACCATACAATTTATAATAGGAAAATTTATACAAGCTCGCTCAGAAGAGTTTATTATGTTATCCTAAGCTCCTAAGACCTAAGAGATGAAAAGAAATTAACAGTAGAAAACGAGAAATTGCAGCTAAAGAAGACTCAGGTAGTGGAGATTGTATGTTTAAACAGGGACCATCACCATCCTACTCCTAAGGAGATACATACAGGTAAGGTAAACACTATGAACTGATCATATCCTTCTTCCCAAAGGCTTGCAAGGATTGGAAGATTTAGATTGGAGAATTTCAGCATCTTTCATTTAGGGAATAGAATACCCATTTTCATCAATCACCTGCACCCAAGGCTTCTGTGTAGATTTCACGACCCATGCCTATTCTGGATCCCTACAGAGACACTACGACAACGCTTTTTCTTTGTTGTTACCTGAAACATACAATAATTAGAAGCAGAAGACTCGGCATAAGTATTTATCAGTGAAACCCACATGTATCAGCAGCATTCTCATAATTCACAATTAGTAAAAAATGTTTGATACCTTTGATGATGGAGGAGGCAAGGATGCCTGCCGTACTGCCTTTCCAGGTTCTGTAAGCTGCCGAATCTCTCGAAGCTGGTTTGCTATATCCTCCAAAAGCTTCAGCTGGAACTTTTCCCCCTCTCTATTCTCCACTGATGATAGGTTGAGTTTCTCTCTCCCTTCTTGAACCGTCTTCAACCTTTCTCTTAGCCTTTCAACTTCATAGTCAAGTTTCAACCTCTCAATGTCAACAGTAGACATGGAATGCCTACGCACATCACAAGGCAGGACAGATCTGGGCTTTGGGCCTAATGGTGGTAGCTGATTACTTTGATCTATACTGCTTCTCTTGCCTTCCATCTGTGCACCACAACTGCTAGTACTTGGAGTATCTTTGGTAACATCAATCATTGGAGCAGCAGAAGCTTCAGATGAAAGATTACTATTTATAGTACTGTTTGTAGACGATGGTTTTACTTTGCTTCTTCTACCCTCATTGCAGACTTTAGATCCATCATCTATTACATGAACATCATGGACATTAAGTTCTTTATCAAATGATAAATTTGATGAGCAATGGAATTCCTGAGATACATCTTTACCATGAAGCTTCAAACATTCATCATCATGTCGAATACAACTATCAACTCTACCACATGTTTCCAAACCTTCTACTACCATCATCCCTTGATCTGGGATATTTTCTCCTTGTTTAGATCCTTCCCCTTCATGTTCAGAAACATCTGATTTGCACGACTCCCTTTCTGCATGTGCCCATGAAATGTAAGAATCATTGATTATAGTAACCATCTCTTTCACCTGAAACTCTTGATTGCCACAAGGGTGGCTTGCCAGGTCCCCTTGTTTCAGATAGCTAGCATCTTCATTCCATTCTAACATCGATGATTCCATCCCAGGAGGAAGAACAGGATTTTGCCTATTGATGGAGATGAACTCATTTGATGTCTTGCTTTTTGCCATGACCTTCTTGTCAATAGATGCACTAAGTTGATGAAGCATCAAGACAGGATCTTCACTTTCATCAAGTGAAGAATTAAAAAGCTGTTGTCTTTCAGTGTCCAATATGTGCTCATCACCAACACCTGATTGCCCATTTCCAAGAGAAATCATCTGTCTATATGTTTCCACTTCCTTTTCTAAAAAGTGCTTCTCCCTCTCCCTCCTCACCAGGATCTCTTTTAGAATGTTCATTTCTTCTTCATCATAAGCAGATTTTTCTTCAATTATCCTTTGATACTGCCGAGCTTCCATTTCAATTGAAGCCTTCTCTTCTTGTAGGCGCAAAATCATAGCCATAGCCTCATCAGCTGCTGTTGCAGCAGCATTTCTCTCCTTCTCAAGCTCAAGGTAAAGAGCAGCACGAGAAGCCTGTTCTTCTTCAAGTGCTAGTTCCAAGAGATGTATTGCATTTTTGTCATCAGTACGGAGACGCTGCTCCATTTGAGCATGGGCTCTTAGCTCTTCATTGGATGAAACATTCTTCTCAGTTTGGTCATCATCATTAGGAAATTCATTCAATTCAAAACTGTCCCTTTGTCCAAAAGCTGTGCCTATAGGAGGCTGCCAGTGCCTCAGCCCTAAAATTCATAAAGCATATATAATAGCATTAGAAAAGTTTCCAGCATAGGTTTAATAGAGGCTCATATAGCATATATGTAATACAATTTTAGCATACATGCACCACTATCTCTACTGAAAATAATAATAATAATAATAATAATAATACTAAAAACTCTGTTTCTGTAAGTAAATGTGCCCAGAATTGGTAACTATGTACAGTACGTCATAAGAAAGGAAACACAAGTAATGGAATAATGTGTTCATCCATACAAGAGTTGTATTTTCCAGTCTGACTACACACATGAAATGAGAAACATTTCATAAATTCATATTTAAATTCTCAAGGAAGGACAATAGAAACTCACGGTTGGAACAATGAGCTTCAACTTCATTCCCATAATGCTCTTTGCTGTCTTCTTCATTCCTAGGACTAATTTCAACTCTTTCCTTGTTGACACTAGGAGGAGATGATGGACCACTTTGAAAATCTACAAACTTAGGATCATAAGACGAAACTGATGATGAAGTCCAATGATCAACCCGTTTTCTACGACGACGTATCCAACCTCTGCTCTTATAGTTCATTACCCCTTTACCCTTCACCACAGGCACAGGCCTTTCCTCTCTTACAACCCCAATCTCACTCTTTGGCTCAAACTCAATTCTAGGAACACTGCATGATTTCCTCACATCTACCACTGAACTACTTGAAGCCTCCTCCACCTCACCTCCAATTTCAACAACCCCACCATGAGTATAGTTAGTATCCTCTTCCCCAATTAACCTCAAATTCACATGGCAATTCTTCTGGTCATTAAAAGGGAATTTTCCCTTCACTGAAACCTGAACATTTGACACTTTCTCATTAGGGAAATCAACCAACAGCCTCTTCAAGCAGAGGCTTCTATTTGGGGGTGTCCCAAACAGCCCATTACAAGGGCAAGGCAAGTGCAACCCAAACAAGGCTAGAAATTTTGTTCCTAAGAAAACTACTGATGATGCACAGAGCAAGAAATAAGCTATAGCTAGATCAAGAAAAGCACCCACTAAACTACACAGACTCCACAAATAATTTACCTCACAATCCTCAAATCCCATTTTCCTTCCACCAGAATGTACCAATTAAGATTCTATTTTGCAAGAGATCAATAATTGTTCCCGGAGAAAGTACCAGCTTGTTGACTCAAAACCTGCACTTTACCACCGTAAGAAGATAAATATTTCCGCCTTTATCTTATCTCCTTTTGGCGATAGACTCGAGCTTCTCTCCAACAAAATTTCTTTAAGCAAAGCTGAAAGCCTGTGGAATCTTTAGAAATTTATAAGGAAAATATTTGGAATCTATTGTTCTTGGATTGAAACTGTAATGATGAAGGCATAATCATTGGTTTCCTTATGGGTTTCTGAATTTTTTTAAGTTCCGCAGCTAATATGAATTTAATTCGTATTACTGGCTCGGTGGAAATACACATGGCTGCACAATTTCTACAACCCCAAAACGATGTCGCATGTTTATCCAAACGGTCAGATATGACCCAAGGCCAATCTACTCTGGTTTTGCGCCAACAGCTTTCAAGCTTCCGAATTCAACACGTGAACTGCTCCATTTTTATTATTATTATTTTTTTTTTCACATATTGCCTGTATTAAATTTTTAGTCTACAAATTATATTAAAAAAAAAGAAGTAAAAACTAACAATAATAAATTTCAAACAAAAATAGTTTGTGTAATCTATAATCGGTTATAGTGATTATTTTCACATGTCATGTTTACTATTAATTGATTAAACCAATTATTTCTTCTTTAATCTTTTTTAGCATTTTTTTATTTAAAAATTTATTTTTTAAATTTAATAGTATTTTTAATATAGTTTTTAAATATATACATTTTGTATAGTAATACAAAACTTAATACTATTAAAAAAATTTGAATTATAAATGATTTAAGTCAAGCATTGTAAACCAAACCAAACACGAAATGAGATTGATGGGGTGTGAACTCCGTGGGCTCGGGGCCCAAGAAGAAAAGAGATCCAGCCCAAGAAGAAAATGGAGCAAGCCCAAAAGATACGAGTCAAACCGAGGAGTCGGCTCGACCCGGGAGTCGGCGCGAGTGCGGGATCGGCACGGGTAGAAGGTCGGCCTAAAACTAGTCGTTAGCCCCTATTAAACTCCTAATTATTACCCCTCAAATTCCAAAACCCCCTGAATTAACCTATCACTAAATCTCATAAATAGCCCATTATTCCCCTTCCGTTTTCTAAAAGCAAACCCAACTCCCATCTCAATTATCTACCCATAAATTCCCTATTAATTGTTCACTTCATGACCCAACGTTCACAATCTCCAACCTCATGCTATAAAACCAGGAATGCAAAGAGCAATGGGGGGGACCATTCCTATATACTACAAGGACTCTTCCACCCACAATGCACAAGGAAGACTCCATCTCTCCTACACACTAGAATACCTCCTACTAATCTTTCATCTCCAAGAAGACCACATGGAGAAGACTCCATCCTTGAGCCCAAGAGAAGACTCCATCACTCTTCCCTACTAGAAGATGCATGATCCATTCACTACAAGAGAAGACTCTACCACTCTTTCAACAAAGAAGGTCAAGAAGAATACTCCCTCTCTATCTACAAAGTATAGCTCTTTCCCTACACAATATTACATATACAAAATAGCCATACAACATGTACAAAGACACCTACAAAATACATAGTGGAGTTAGACTTGGCACCGCCCAAAAAGGCCTGTGGTTTTCCTTTCGGTTTTCACGTACAAAAAGCATCGAGTTATATTTTGTTCTACTTATTTTTCTATAAGCCGCATGTGAAAGGTGTATCCTCCAGCCAAAGGTTGTGTTGGACCTCCTTGGGCCCGAAAACCCAAAAACCAACACTGGCGCCGTCCGTGGGGATCGTGACAAAAGGTCACGTTTGCCTCTTTATCTGAGCAATTTCGGAGAGCGTCCGGTCACTACGGACGGAAGATTGAGAAGGTTCACGGAGAGCCGTGGACCAAGAAGAGAACTAGAGGAGAATCAAGTAAAGAAGATGGCGTGTCGAGGTCTACAAGAGGTAACCATTATCATCTAAATTAGATGTAGTATTTAAATTAAAGTACTCAAAGACCAAAGAGTAGTCGGTCCATCACACTGAGGGACTCGGCCGGGGGAATCAAGAAATCGGGACGCCGAATAAATGGTTCCCCCACCACGACTTTAACGGTTAACACCGTAGTCACGATTATTTTTTGTTCTACCTTTACTCTTGATCATGTGAAAAGCTTTGCTATGTTGAAGCACATAGACAGTATGATTCTAAAAAAGGGGCTTGTAAAAAGACTCTCCAATATATATATTGGATGTTTCTGCTTCGCCACCATGAAATATGAGGAATAAATGTTCTACCTGGCAAGAATGGGTGCAGAACCTGACATGAAGATTTGGAATTCAAAAAGAATTTCAATTGCCAAGGCAGTCTACTTGGCAAAGCCAAGACTCTTGTTGAAAAAAATAAAAATAAAAAAAAATAGAAAAAATAGAAAATAAAAGAAAAAAATAAATAAAGGAAATAAGCCTTGAGTCGGCGAAGAGAAAAACTCAAAAGGGAGACCACCGTCTGCATTGCTTGAAACAATCGGAGAAGTCAGAACTCTTTTCAGCTCCGCTTGATGGTAAACCGTCCTTTTGTCGCGTCAATGGTGACTAAAACTCCCGATCTGCAGCGCCCAAATGAACATACCGAAACGGACGAGTCATAAGGAACAACTGTAAACTGCCCAACATTTCACCAAAGGCATCCGAATACCAAAATTCTGGAATATCAATTGGCAAGACAGAAAACTTCATCTGTGATGATCAAAATATCAAATACCAACGTGTGATAGCAGAAACAAAACAAGCATCATTCCGGAGTATGGATAGAGCGCCGATAAGGTGTGCGAGCCCCAGAAGTGACTGAATTCACCCCAAATTGCCAGACTACTCCAACTACTTGTTCTACACCAATATCCTCCCTGCCGACTGCCGTAGTCGGCTGTAGCCCCCATGAATACGTAACAGTCGAAAAAGAGGCTACTAGTGCACTGCATGGGTGACGCCACCTTACTTGATTCCTAGTTCGGGCGACTCTTGGACATCCCACTATGATAACTACAATAGACATAGTAAATGACTCGTCAACAAACAATACAGCTGCCAACAGCCATCAGTTTGACGGCACGTGGCGAGTAGGGGGGACTCGGCACATCAATTTGACGAGAATCGAGACCATAAGAAGTCGGCAGGATGGTGCTCGGCAGTCGGGGTCGGTTCCCAGAAATCTGCATGTCATGCCTCTCCATACTCGACAGGCAGTAGATGGGTTTCATGTGCACTGGTGATAGTAAAAGATACGGCTGACAGTGGTAAACTCCAAAACTGGTAGGTGGCAATTAAAAATCCATGGGAAGAGGTAGCGTCTCTACATTGGAAGTCACAAACAGAGAGTAGATGCTCGCAAGCCTTCTTCTAGAATTCTACCGCACTGCTCGAGAATCTCACCGCGGCCGAGCTCAATCGTATACATTCTACAATATATCCGGATGAGCGTCCAGGAAGTCATTGTTATCGGCAACAAGAATCCGACGGAGCCGCAAACCGCCCCCACTCCTGTCAGCTATCCGGTTCCTCGGCACCGTCGTCGTCGGAAACACACGCCTCTGGAGTAGGTCGTGTCACCATGTACTCTCTCTTTGGTCGCCGACCAGCGTCATAAACCAACACCAGTGGCCGACTTCTTGTGAGAAGTTAGCAGCCGCCGCATACGACCGGACCACGAGTTAATGAAACCACCAAGCGGCCATGAACAGCCTATAACTCTGAAGGTTATAGCTCGTGAGATACGTGAGTCAGAGGAAACCCCTACTCCAAGGACTCGGACTCGAAGGAAGCGATCTACTGGGGACCGCCCGCTTCACGAACGATCGGTCTCTGACCGTTCGTTTACACCAATGTTCTCCGACTTCTGTAGTCGGCTGCAGCCTCCATGAGTACGGGAAAATCCGGAAACGCGCAGGTAGGCAGTAAGAGAGCCTGCGAGAGGAAATCGGCGAAAAGGTAGTCGGAAAAGGAAGAAGTCGGCTACCCAGTTGGACTCGGGTATTGTTCTCTTTCCGAGTCAAAGTCGGATTCGACTATGAAAACAAAGGAGGCGACTCCAAAGGCATGACTTCAGCGAGAATAAAGATCGACCATAGATTATGCTCATGGGTGTTCCGTCGAGTCACTGAGTCCTCCGAGTCGCTGAGTCCTCTGAGTCGCTAATCGACATTGATTCTACTCCAAAAATCGCCGACTCCTTACGGGATGCCGTCAACAGTCGACCAACATGTGGTCGAGAAAATCAAACCCGCATGGAGTCGGAGGTCGGTCATTGAATATATATACAGACACCCTATTCAAATAGACTTGGTCGAGCGGGGGCTAGTAGAGGCTGCCTCTTCCCTTACATGGGTTCCTTAAGTCTACTGATTACTATTCATTATGGATTTCCGTCTATTGCTCCTGAACGCCTAACACCATAACCTGCAATTAGGAGCATATGAGCTCTCTCTATGTTCTGGTCTTTTTGGTATCAAAGTGGCAAATCCCCCATCTCATCCGAGTTATTTAGCTGACTCACGACTCAGACCGGTGATGATGAGCGAATGGGAACTCGATGGGGGGCGGCTGAGTACGAGCTTGGAAGATTTCTGAAATAAAAGTGGTACTCTGCTCTAAAGACGTGTGGCTTCTGTTACTGCTTGCTACGTGGGCACCGTGAATTGCAACATGTGAAGTCACGCTTGATAGACCGCTGATCTCGGGTAGGCGAATTTAAGAAGGGTCGACGATGGCGGATTCCGACGACCAACACGAGCTCGGACGAAGAGAATGGAGCTCTAAAGCTCTCCGCTATTTGATCGCCAACACGCACCACCGCTCGCCATAACCATCGGAGATTCCGGCTCGGCCACCACTCACAGCCCCTCTCCGCCAGAGTACAAATGACGAGACTGCATTTTGATCATATTCCCCATGATCTCTTTATCATCGCTCTCTACAACCGATATCAAGAAGCTAAGGATTGGATAACGAGCTAGGTTATGGAATATAGTGATGACCGAGTTGGAGGAATGAAGGAGTCGGCTTAGTCGGCCAGAAGGCAACCACTTAAGGAAATATAGTCAGATGGAGGAAAGTAGTCGACAAGTTGGCCAGATCAAGAAAAGTCAAGAGAAATGCATGACAATTTGGGTAAAAGTAAAATGGTGGAGACAAGCTACTGGCAGTTTTGCATGAGGCATGAGAAGATGAAAATAGTATTGCCTGTGGCTAACACTCGTCAGTAAATGTACTTAGAGCTATTGCACAAGACAAAAACCATCTTGAGTACGTTTTCCCAAAAACCAAGTAGGCCAAGTACAAGGTGA